TGTTTTCACCAAATGGTGCTGAAGCAACTAGACATCCACATCCAGGAAAAAAAAAAGAGAGAGAGAGAAAGAATCTAAATACAGACCTTACATCTTTTTTATAAAAGTTAACTCAAAATGGATCATAGCTCTATGTAAAACAGAAAACTATAAAACTAAAAGAAAGAAAGAAAGAAAGAAAACTATAAAACTGCCTGAAATATTTAACATAGTGCTAAATGTAGTGACCCTGGGTTTAGCAATGAGTTTTTAGATACAACACCAAAACCGCAATTCATGAAATAAAAAATTGACAGTTTGAACCCCATTAAAATTAAAGCATTTTGCTCTGTATCATACATTGTTAAAAGAATGTAAAGGCAAGCCACATACTACAAGAAAATCTTTGTGAAACACAGCTTTGATAGAACACATATCCAAAATATACAAATAATTCTTAAAACTCAGTAATACAGAAACAAACAACCGAACTCTAAAACAGGCAAAAGATCAGATGTGTCACCAGAGGATATACGGCAACAAATAAGCATATGAAAATAAAATAAATTGTCCTTAGGTAACAGCAAATTAGAACAACAATGGAATACTGCTACACTATTAAAATGGCTAAAATCCAAAATTCTGAAAATATCAAATGCCAATGAAGATGTGGAGCAACAGGAACTCCCAGTCATTGCTGACGGGAATGCAAACAGTTACAGTCACTTTGGAAGACCGTTTGGCAATTTCATACAAAGATAAACGTAGTTTTACATTACAATCCAGCATCTGTGCTCCTAGGTATTTACCCAATTGAGTTGAAAACTTATGTGCACACAAAAACCTGTAAATGAATGTTTAAAAGCAGCTTTATTCATACTTTCCAGAAACTGGAAGCAACCAAGATTCCTTTAAATAAGTGGATGGATAAACAAACTGATGTATGTCCATACAATGGACTATTATTATTATTCAGTTATAAAAGAAAATAAGCTAACAAACCGTTAAAAGACATGGAATAACTTCAAATGTATATTGGTAAGTAAAAGAAGCAGTCTAAAAAAAGCACATTCTAGATGATTCCAATCATAGAACATTCTGGAAAAGGCAAACTATAAGAGACAGTTAAAACAAAAAACAGTGTTTGCTAGGAGATTGACGCCAGGAAAGAAAAGATGAATAGGTAAAGTGCAGGGGATTTTTTGGAGTGGTGAAACTATATATGATAACGTAATGGTAGATATATGATACTACGTCAAAAACCATAGAACTGTACAACACAGAGTGAACTTTAATGTAAACTGTGGATTTCAATGAATAATAATGTATCAATATTATTTCATCAATTGTAACAAATGTACCTTACCAGTGAAAGATATTAATAATAGAAAACTGTGTGCCGGGAGAGAAGGGTTATGTAGGAACTCTCTGTATTATCTACTAAGTTTTTCTGTAAACCTAAAACTGCTCTAAAAGACAGTCTATTAACTTTTTTAAAAAGTCAATTGAAAGAATAAATAAAAGTAGATTTTAATGAAGCTGTGAGATTTATAAAACATCTTATAGTTACAAGAGCTTATTTTAAGCTGCTCACTTAATTTCAATTATGTAAAAAGCTACACACTTTAGCACCACACACACATTTTGTGTTTTTGAAGTCACCATTTACATCTTTTTAGATTGTGTATCCCTTAACAAACTTTTGTAAGTATTATTTTAGAGTTTTCCCTTTTAGCCTTCATATTAGAGATGTTAAGTGTTTTTATATACTGCCATGATTGTATCCGAATATTCTGGATTTGACTGAGTACTTACTTTTACTAATGAGTTTTATACTTTCATATGTTTTCATGTTACTAATTCACGTACTTTTCTTTCAGCTTAAAGAACTACCTTTAGCATTAAAAATAATAGAAATGGGATCTTTCTATGTTGCACAGGCTGGTCTTGAACTCCTGGCCTCAGTCTCCCAAAGTGCTGGAATTACAGGCCAGCATTTTTGTTTAAAGCAGATCTAATGTTGATGAACCACAGCTTTAAAAAAAAAAAAAAAAAAAAAAAAATCTGGGAATGTTCTAATCTCTCTATACCACAGCTTAAAAAAAAAAAAATCTGTGAATATTCTAATCTCTCTATCATTTCTGAAAGAACACTTGCTGGGTATGGCGGTATTTTTTTCTTTCAGTAGTCTGAATATATCATCCTACTCTCTTATGGCCTGCAGAGTTTCAGTTGAGAAATCTGCTGATAGTCTTGTGGGGGTCCCCTTGTATGAGACAAATCGCTATTTTCTTTCTGCTTTCAAAATTAACTTTTTCTCTTGAACTTTTAAGAGTTTGATTACAATGTGTCTCAGCAAAGATAATTTGATATTTAATCTGTTTAGGGTTCTTTGGGATTCAGGATATGGATGGTCATTTCCCTTTATGGATTTGGAAAAGTTTTTTTATCATCAGTTATTTAAATGTGCTATCTAATCCTTTCTCTTTCTCTGCTCCTAAATTCCCATAATGTCAACATTGGTTCACTTGAAAAAGTCTCGTTAATTCCCATAGGCTTTTTTCTTTTTTTTTTTTATGGTGATATAGAAATACATTTTATTATCAAGCTTCCAGTATATTTACAAAAAGTTGGAGGTAACAAAAAAATATAAAAATGTACTGAACAGCCATTATAGACTACTTTGTACATTATCAAATGTTTCTAGCAAACAATTACTTCTTATACAAACATGACAAAAAGTTACGCAGGTTATACAGTATCTGGAGTAATTAATTATTCAACTCCAGATTCTTTGACAGTGCCATTACAAAATGTTTTAGAAAACTTCTTAGGCATTTAACAACAAATACAAAGAGTGCAATTAATTTCATGGCTTGTAAGGTTTGATTATATAAGTATAGCAAATGAACGTCATTCCAGTTAATTTTCACCTTATGTAGTAAAACCACAGTAGATTGCCTAGCGACTCAGAATATTCCATTTTGGGTGTGTTGATATAAACAGACTTTGGTGAAACTGGGAAATCGTCCTCTATCATAGGGAAAGTAACATTGCTAAATTTGTTTAAAAAATTAATTTGGTTTAATCTTTGAAGCTTCTATAGAAGGACAAATTACCAAGAGGGGAATATTTCCTGGAGGCATTTATGGGTAGACAGTACAGCATAATGGTTGGGAGGGTTAAGGGAGATTAGAGCCATACTGCTGGCCTCCAATACATGTACTAACTATATGCAATTTGGCAGGTTAATCTCCCCTTGCCTCAATTTTCTTAAGATGGAGTTCATAATGACTTAACACTATGGCTGTTGTGAGGGCAAACTAAAGTATAAAAGAACTTAGAACACAGGAGCACTGCATAATGCTTGCTACTATTCTTTCAAGGGTATTTTTAGTCCTAGATAGGAGAGTAGGATCTCTAAAGGCCTTCTCAGTCTGTTCATATACAAGAACATTATTTTCTTTTGCTACCTCAAATTTGGTGGGCAATGATAGTTAACACTTTCCTAGTTTTTAGTTTATTTGACTACATACTTATCTGATCTTCACTGCAACACTGTAACAAAGGCAGAGGCAAGAATTACAATCTTCATTTTATAGAATGAGGAACTGAAGACAGACAGCGATCTGTTCAGGCCAACATAACTAACAAGTAATGGATCCAAGGCTTGAGCAGAAGTGTTGCTCTTTTACTCTTGTTAAGAGTGGAGAAAGGAAAAAACTCACTGTTTCTTACAAGTAGATGGTCCCACATCTTAAACTGGGGAAGATATTTAAAAATGTTTTTTAAATAGCTCGCTGCTGGAGCTGAAATGTAAGAAGTACTTCTTTCATTCTTTAATTTGTTGCACTGATAATACAGCTCTAGCCTTATAAACTGTTTCATGCTCCACTCCTACCCATTCCCCAAACTACTTAAAATAACTGATTTTAAAACACTCCAGGTATCTGCAAAGCACTCCATAGGCTAAGGGAAGCAGGGGGGAAAAAGGGGGTACTGTTTGCTATACAGTAACTGTAGCATTAACTGACCCTGCACTGGCCCTGCTAAAAAGCAGAAATCATTGAATCCTGGGGGTGGAGATACATTGTGTAAAGTTGAGATCTGCTGATGGTGAACTGTGGAATCCAGTCCTGGCATCAGGATGGTGTCAGTCAGAACATGCATATTTAGCAGTGGAGTGGAGCTATGAAAAGACATACAACTCAGCACTTAGACCAGCAGTCCTCTTCCTTTGTAAGGTCCTTTTTCCCTAATTATCTTAGAAGATGTTGCAACATACAGAAGGTAACAATCCTTATGTTGTATAGAACATATTCAGAGTAGCAGAGCAACTCCCAAAAGGTTAGGAATCACTGTTTTAAAGTCTTGATTGACGTAAAAAAGGAAGGTGAAACAGCACAGTGCTCTTTTTCTAGGCATCTAAGAAAAACCCTTCAATGCCTCTATGGTTGGTTTAAACAATGTTTAAAAAAAAAGTCCTTATAGTAAAATCACAATGGTAGCCTCACAGTTATCTCTTAAATACAAGCCTCTTTATTCATCAATCTTGTAAGTCTTGTGTAATTTAGCCAAGCTATATAGTAACTGGATGCTAGCTTGACTTGTTTTCCCTTAAAAAAACAAAACAAAATAAAACACACACACACACACACACACACGCACACACACACACACACGGAGGACATAGATATATATATATATAAACAGAAAAGGGAAGACAAATTAAGTGGCCCTATTGCACTAAAGTGAAGGATTAGAAAAAAATACAAAACCAGTTATTGCTTAGGCTACCAAAGTTTATAAAAAGCTTCGCCTTGATTCCATTATGAGTTCTTATTATTCAGTTTCCCTCCTGTACCTACTCAGTATGGACTACAGTATTGGTGTCACTGATTCCTTATCATATTTCCTCATATCTTTGCATCCTTGCAGATGACAGCCTACAAAGAACAAGTTATACAGCAAAATATCAGTCCATTAAGTGACATCCTTCCTTATTTAGGTTAACTCAGTGATTAAGGATCTTCTTCCATATCATCTGGATTAGGAGCCATAATGAAGTGGTTTGGGTATACAAGGTTATGTGTGTATGCATGTATTTCCCAGCGAGCATCATCACTTTTATGTGTAATGTAACGTTCTCCAACGCGAGTTTCAAATTCTCTAAGGTCAAGCCAAGTCTGATAGTCCTGTAGCCAGGGATGACTAAGAGATTTGTCAACACTATAACGTTTTCTCATCTTCACTTGAAGCAGATTGTTTATCAAATCAATTGCTTCACCAGAAATTTCTTTCCATGGATTTGGTGGGTACATAAATGCAGCATTTTGGATCTGGTCATTTATATCTTCATCCTCATTAAAAGGAAATGTGCCACTGAGGCTCACATAGATGATAACTCCCACTGACCACATATCTAGAGAACAGTTGTAACCTTTGCTCCAGAGAACTTCAGGGGCTAAGTATGCTGGAGTTCCTACCACAGATCTCCTGAATGACTTTTCACCAATGATGCGTGCAAATCCAAAATCACACAGCTTCACCTAAGGAAATGGCTCTGCTGATGCAAGCAGCACATTTTCTGGCTTTAAATCACAGTGCACAATATTCTTAAAATGCAGATTTCTCAAAGCAACAAGTATCTGTGTGACCATGAATTTAGTAATTCGTTCTGGAAGCCGACTTTTCTCACTGGATAGAATCATTTCCAACATATCTCCATGCAGCTTTTCCATTACTACAAAGACTCGGTCTGGGGTTTCAAACATACATTCCAGGTTTACAATCCCAGGATGGTGCAAATTCTGTAAAATAGCCACTTCATTACGGAGTTGACTTTCTTGTTTTGTGGGGAATCTCATCTTATCAATTACTTTAATAGCCACATCCCTCCCAGTCTTTCTATGTTTTCCTCCATAAACAATGCCAAACTGGCCTGAACCAAGCACCTCATCTGCAAAGATCTGGTAAACAGTACTGATATCCACATTCTCCTCGATCTGACAATTAGATACAGAGATACTCGTAGACAATCTTTGTGATCTTTCCCTTGCCCTGGAGAAGTGCAAACACTTGCTTGAGGAGTAACAGGCATGAGGGCTTGGCAAATTGCTTTTTCCCAGCTCTGTGCTACATCAAGTCCAACTCCAGTGGCAGCGAGAACAGGATTATGAGAGCTATCCCCATTGTTCTCACCAACGAAGTATACCATAGTATCAGTGATGATTTCAAAACAGTGTGGATTGCTGCCTTGTGAAATGTTTGTGAAATCTCGTGGTGAAGATATGCGAAGAATTCCTGAAAGTGGAATTTCCTTATAATACTTTGATCCAGATTCATTCTGAAACAATGTTAGACATTTGCTGTCAAGTCTCCAATAACGCCTCTTTCTCAGGTTATCCCTGCTGGTGTAATGGACCATCCACCCTTTCTTCACCATTGTGCTGCTCTTCCTCTGTGTGTGCTTGATGGATTGTACAACCCTCATTAGCGGAATATTATTGCTTGTTGATGGACTGATTGTTTTAACGGCTTCTTCATCTCTTTCCACATCAAGATCAGATGGATCCAGGAAGAACATCTTGTCTTCTGAGGGAGATGGCTCTTCTGTGTCATCCAAGCCCCGACTACTATCACTATTTATGTCATTATTGTCAATATCCATTGGTATATCTGTATCTGTTCCCAAACTGGAAGGTTCTCCATTGAAAGTAACCTCTCCAAGGCAGTCTCTTGGTACTTTTGATGCACAGCGTTTATGGCAGTTGAATTTACAATCTTTACACTGCATTCCTTGGCAAAAGAGGCCTTTCAGTAACCGCTTGCAGTACTGACATATCGTGGGACGGGTGTAAGAGTGAACAGCAAATGTGTGTGGAACTTTCACTCTGCACATTACCATCTTTTCCATCCAGATTGGGCGACCACTCCAAGAAGGAACTCTCTTACTTGGTTCCTGGTGGACATGTGACTCTTCACTGGGAAGGGTGACATATTCAGGCTGCAGGGGTCTTGGAACTGAGAGGCCAGGTCCTGGCAAAGATACATTTGACAGACGTCTCTTTCTTACTCCACTACAGTTATTTGGAATCTTGAAGGCACATCGTTTATGATCATTTAATCCACAGCCTTCACATTTAAGTCCCTGCCGTACCAATCCCCAGAGTGTCTCACCACAATAATCACAGAAAGTAGGAGCTTTGTAAGAATGTACGTAGAGAGTATGCAGACGAATCTGGAAGTCCTCTACTGTGGCCAAAGCTGAAAGAACAACCTCCCCTAGACCTCCTTCGTGTATTTCATCTGCTGAGGGAATCAGCTGCAAAATATTTTCTGAGTTCATGTCATGGCGACAAAGAAGAATTTTGTCATACATCCCGAAGAATCCACGCTCTGGAAACTTTTGATAAACTATGGAGCACACAAGATCCTTGACAGCAGATAAAGACAGTTCCTGGGCTTCAGTGGTAACACTCTCCCGTGTGAGACCAATTTGCAGTGGAAATGAAACTGTATGCACTGAGCCTCTGGAGTGGGTGAGCGATGGTGCACTGAAGCTTCCATTAGACAGTCGGGCAGAGAGTCCCGTCTTAGGACTTGAACACGGAGAAGCAGTTGGAAGCACAGCAGGAATAGCTGAAGGTAATACAGACTTCTGGGCTGATGGAGGGGAATTATTTGCAGACCTCTGCCTTTCTTTAATCTTTTAAAATAGTTGTCAATTCTCTTTCAATGGTTATGAAGAGGGTTTTAAAATAACAGCAGCAAAGAAAATGACTGCACTTTTGGATTTAGTTGAAAGCTTCTTTATTTCCTCTTTTAAGCCACTCATGCCGATGATGATAAGTTTTATCAATGAGTCGAATGCACAAAAGGTCCTACTTCTCTTATCATCTGTCCCATCAAAAAACAATCTTGTCTGTAGGAAGACAGCCAGGGATTTGTAAAGGATTTAACATCACTAAGCTACCCTCAGCAGAAGAGAGTTGACGGAGCTTATTTACGAATCTATTTTCCTTTCAGTCTGTTCTGGTCTCTTAATTTCAGAAAATACATATTGAATATAAGTTATTTCTCTGTCAGGATGAATTCCTCTTTAAAAAAACAGTAAGTGTTTTGGATTAAACAATTCCATACTTTTGCTTTGGTTTACTAATTTCACAGGACACCTTCTCAAATGTCTACACTTAAATCACCTTCTCAAATGTCCTCATTTTCATTCTGGAGGTGGGGGAACTTTTCTATGATGAAGTAAAAAGCTTTTTAAAATAGTATAGGCATATTTCATTAGATGAATGGGTCCATCAAGAAAAGTTGACGCTTTCTGATATGTAGAAAGCAGTGGCGGGCTCGACCCGTCGTGAGAAACTCTGCGCTCGCCAGCGTCTGAGTCCCAGACCAGGCGCCAGCGAGCCTTCACGCACCCCGCAAGATCCCGCCCGCCGCCGGCGCCCCTCCCTCCGCCCCCCCACCCGTCCCATCCTGAGGCCGGAGGGCGGGGGGCCGGGGCGCCCCATAGGCTTTTTTCAAGCTCTTTCATCGTTTTTGTTTTATTGTTTTTGTTCTCACGAAGTAATTTCAAATGATCTCTCTTTGAGCTTAGTGATTCTTTCTTCTGTCTGACTGAGCTCTTCACAGAATTTTTCAGTTTAGCCAGTATATTTTTTTTAGCTCCAGATTTTCTGTTTGGTTCTTTTTTATGGTTTTTATCTCACTGTCGAACTTCTAATTTTATTTGTGTATTGTTTCCCTGGTTTTATTTAGTTGTCTGTATGTGTTCTCTTATGGCTTGCTAAGCTTCTTTGATTATTTTGAATTATTTGTCAGACAGTTCATGAGATCTCCATTTCTTTAAACCTGGTTATTGATGCCTTAATTTGTTCCTTTGGTAGTGTTACACTTCCCTGATTGTCTGTGATCCTTGTGGTCAAGCACTGGTTTCTGTGTATTTGAATAATTAGACACATATTCTAGCGCTGACAACTATCTTCACCAGTAAGCCTGTCCAGAGATTCTGGGCAAACCATCTATCATTAATCCACAGGCTGGCAGGATGGTAGAGTTTTTGAGCAGACCAGCCTGGTGCCTGAACTGGTTTTATGTAAGCCTCATGCTAGTTACAAAGCAAAAACATACAGTAGCCACACAAGAGATAAAAGGTAAGAATTCAAAGCACACCACTACAGAAAATCATCTAATCACAAAGAAAAACAGCAAGAGAGGAAGAAGGGGAAAGAAAGAACTACAAAACTAGCAGAAAACAATGAATAAAATGTCCAAAATAATTACGATCAATAATCAGTTATTCAATAATTATTGATTACCTATCAATAATTACCTTGAATGTAAACAGATCAAAGTATCCCAACAAAAGACATAGAGTGGCTTAATGGATTAAAAAAAAAAAAACCAAGACTCAACTATATGGGGCCTATCAGACTCATTTCCTTTTTTAGGGGGTGCGGGGGTGGAGTCTTGCTCTGTCACCCAGGCTGGAGTGTAGTGGTACAATCTCAGCTCACTGCAACCTCCACCTCCCTGGTTCAAGCAATTCTCCTGCCTCAGCCTCCCAAGCAGCTGGGATTACAGGTGCATACCACTGTGCCCAGCTAATTTTTTGTTTGTTTGTTTTATTAGCAGAGACAGGCTTTCACCATGTTGGACAGACTGGTCTCGAACTCCTGACCTCAAGTGATCCTTGGCCTCCCAAAGTGCTGGGATTACAGCATGAGTCACCGTGCCTGGCCTCACTTCACTTTTAAAGACACACATAGATTGAAAGTGAAAAGATTCAGAACGATAATTCATGAAGATAGAAACCAAAAGACAGCAGAGGTAACTATCCTCATATCAGAAAAAATAGGCTTTAAGTTGAAACTATAAAGTGAAACAAAGAAGGTCACTATATAATGATAAAGGGATCAATTCATCAAGGAGATATAATGATTATAAATATATATGCACCCAACATTGGAGCACCTAAATAAAGATATCAAATGTTAATATATCTGAAGACGGAGACAGAGTATGACATATTACTAGTAGGGAACTTCAATACCCCATTTTCAACAATGAACAAACATGAAAAATCAGTAAGGAAAAACTGGACTTCAAGTATACCTTAGACCAGGCGTCCCCAAACTACGGCCCACGGCTGCATGCGGCCCCCTGAGGCCATTTATCCAGCCCCCCGCCGCACTTCAGGAAGGGGCACCTCTTTCATTGGTGGTCAGTGAGAGGAGCACAGTATGTGGTGGCCCTCCAACGGTCTGAGGGACAGTGAACTGGCCCCCTGTGTAAAAAGTTTGGGGATGCCTGCCTTAGACCAAATAAACTTGACATGTACAGAGCATTCCATCCAAGGGCAGCAGAATATACATTATTTTCAAGTGCAATGGAACATTCTCAAGGACAGATCATATGTTAGGACACAAAACAAGTATTTAAAAATTTAAGATTGAAATCATATTAAGTATATTTCAGACGACAACAATATGAAACTAGAAAACAACAGAAAGGCCTTCAAAAATTTACAAATATGCAAAAATTAAACAAATAATTCAACAATCCATGGATCAAAGAGAAATTTTAAAAGAAAATTTTAAAAATCTTTAGACAGACCAGGTGAAGTGGCTCATGCCTGTAATTCCTGCTCTTGAGAGACCAAGGCCAAGAGTTCAAGACTAGCCTGGGCAACATAATGGGATCTTGCCTCTATTTTTAAAATTTTTTATATTGTCTTTGTTGCTTAGGAAAAAGAAATTTTAAGAAAAAAATCTGAGACAAACATAGAAAGACAACACACCAGCACTTATGACATGCAGCAAATGCAGTTCTAAGAGGCAGTTTATACCAATAAACACCTATATAAAAAAAAAAAAAAAAAGGATCTCAAATAAATAACCAAACATTATACCTCAAGGAACTAGAAAATGAAGAAAAAGCTAAGCCAAAAGTTAACAGCAGAAATAAGTATTTTTTAAAAGCAGAAATAAATGAAATAGAGACTAGAAAAACAATAGAAAAGATGAAAGTAATCGTTGCGTTTTTAAAAGATAAGCAAAATTGAAATACCCTTAGCTAGACTGAGAAAAAAAGAGAGAAGACTCAAATAAATAAAATCAGACATGAAAGAGAAATTACAGCTGATACTAGAGAAATACAAATAATGGTAAGGGACTACTATGAACAAATAAACACCAACGAATTAGACACTGGAAATATCTACCAAGACTAAATCACAAATATGCAGAAAATATGCACAGAAAATCATGAGAAAGAAGATTTAAATGATTATAAAAAGTCTGTTATCCAAGAAAAGCCCAGGATCTGAGAGCTTATCTGGTGAATTCTACCAAATATTTAAAAGAGAATTAATGCCAATCCCTTTGAAACTTTCTAAAAAATGTAAAAGGAAGGACTAATTTCAAACTCATTTTACAAGCCTGAAAGTAGTCAGTCAAGGACACTATACAAAAAGAAAATTACAGGAAATCCTAGTCAGAGCAATTAGGCAAGAGAAAGAAATAAAAGTTATTAAATCAGAAAGGAAGAAGTTAAGTTGTTTGTTTGCAGACAACATAATCCTACATACAGAAAACTCTAAAGACATCACCAAAAACTGATGTCTTAAAACATCATTACTAATAAACAGATTCAGTAAAGATACAAAAATCAACATACAAAATCAACATACAAAAATCAGTAGCATTTATACATGTAAACAATGAACTATCTGAAAAAGAAATCAAGAAAACAACCCACCCATTTACAATATGTACACAAAAAAGTTTAGGAATAAATTTAACTAAGAAGATGAAAGCTCTATACAGTCAAAAGTATAAACATTGATGAAAGAAGTTGAAGATGACACGCACACAAAATGGAAAGATATCCAAGTTCATATATTGGAAGAATTAACATTGTGAAAGTGCCCATACTACTCAAAGCAATCTACAGATTCAATGCAATCTCTATCAAAATACCATGACAAGAATAATGAGACATTCTTCACAGTTTAAAATAACTCTTAAATTTGTACAGAACATAAAAGATCCTGAATAGCTAAAGCAATCCTGAGCAAAAAAAAAAAAAAAAAAAGCTGGAGGTATCACATTACTGAACTTCAAAATACAATATGAAGCTATCATAACCAAAATAGCATGATACTAGCATAAAAACAGATACATAGACCAATTGAACAAAATTGAGAACCCAGAAATAAATCCACATGTTTACAGGCAACTGATTTTCAATAAAGGTGCCAAGAAAGGGACCTTTTACTAAGAAAGGGACAGTCTCCTCAATAAACGGTCCTGGGAAAACTGAGTATCTATATGCAGAAAAATAAAGGGACCATTTACTAAGAAAGGGACAGTCTCCTCAATAAACGGTCCTGGGAAAACTGAGTATCTATATGCAGAAAAATAAAAGTAGACCCGATCTCTCACCATATTTAAAAAAAAACACACACAAAATGGATAAAACACTTAAAATGTAAGTCTACACACTATGAAACTACAAGAAGAAAACATAGGGGGTACACTTCAGGACACTGATCTGGGCAAAGATTTCATGGTGAAGACCTCAAAGTCACCAGCAACAAAAACAAAAGTAGTCTAACAATTATATCAAACGAGAAAGCTGCTGCACAGCAAAACAAACAAATGAACAAACAAACAAAACAATTAACAGAGGGAAAAGACAAACTGCAGAATGGTAGAAAATAGGTGCAAACTATTCGCTCCACAGGGGATTAGTAACCAAAATATACAAAGAACTCAAACAATTCAACAGCAATAATATTACTATTATTTTTAAATAGGCAGATGAGCTCAAAATAAGACATGTATGGCCAACAGGTATATGAAAAATTGCTCAATATCACTAATCATCAGGGAAATCCAAATCAAAACTACAGAGATATTTCAGTTAGAATGGCTATTGACAAAAAGACAAAAAATAACATGCTGGTAAGTACTCTTAATACACTCTTGAGTGGGAACATGAATTAGTATAGTCATTACAGAAGACAGCATGGAAGTTTCTCAAAGACTAAAAATAGAACTACCACATCATCCAGCAATTTTACTACTTGTTATATATCCAAAGGAAAGGAAATCAGCATGTCAAAGAAACATCTGCACTCCTACATTTATTGCAGCACTATCTGCAATAGCTGAGATATGGAATCAACCTAAGTGTCCATCAATAGATGAGTGGCTTTTTAAAAATGTGGTACATACTCACAATGGAATACTATGTAGCCATAAAAGGATTCTGTCATTCACAACAACATGGATGAGTCTGGAGGGTGTTATGTTTAGTGAAATACGCCAGGCACTGAAAGATAAATACCACGTTTTCACTCACGTGGAAACTAAGAATTTGATCTCATAGAAGTAGCGTAGGACAGAGTAGAAGAGTGGCTACCGGAGGTTGAGGAGGATAGGAGGGAGGAGGAGATAGGAAGAGTTTGGTTAACAGATACAAGAGCACAGCTAGATAGGAGGAGTAAGATCTAGTGTTCTACAGCACTAT